CCCTTAACTTGCCCTTTGAGCTCCGAGTGCCATACGGTCGGTTTACACCGGTAGGTGCCCTGCCCAGATCAGTTTGATAGCTAATTTCAGGGCCTAGCTGATAAACCAGCAGAAATCATTCCAGTGGAGGGGCTTTCCAAGAGGGGATGCTGCAAGAAGGAGGAGGGTCCATCAATGGGCTCGCCAAGCAGAGGCTTAAAACGCCCCCTCTTTGAAAGCAGGGCAACCTCCTGGCAGTGCTGCTCTTGAGCCTCCTGTAGATGAGAAACGAGAGTCTCCTTGGGGAATGGCGACTTCCAAAAGCAGCGTCACGCTCCTGCCTTTATTCTAATGTGGTCATTTGCTTTTCATTTGGAATGAAGTTGCTGTTTACATAGTAATCAGCAGGCACTTACGTGCGCGGGTTGGACAATACGCTGAGAGGCTCAGATCTGCTCGTGCCTCGATTCCAAATAATTAAGTACCGCTCTCGGCAGCGGCTGGGGTTCAGGAGGAAGCCTTATGAGGAGAATTCATCTTAAGGAAGAATGATTTTACTTTTTTTTAAAGCATGGTGCAGCGGGTTGCCATGCGGCGTGACCTCCGAGGATGCGAGACGTAGTTTGCGAGTCTGCTGGTGCGATACGGGCAGAGCCTTGGGCCGGGGGGAGGGAATACTCTGAGCTGGCTGGCGAAGGAGCTGCGACCCAGTGGCTTTCCTGCTCCTGTGGTTCCTCAGTCCTACCAGGCAGTCGTTCTTCAGTTAAGCCTCTCAAGGCTGGAACCGTGAACTGAGGGTAAAACTTCACGTGGGGATCTTGAGAGATGGTTTCGCTGGTCTCAACAGCTGTCTCAGATTTTTTTGAAAGTCTTTTAACATGTGCTTGTTACAGTTCAGGACCTCAAGGGTCTGGGTTATGAAAAAGGGAAACCGGTTGGTTTGGTGGGTGTGACGGAGCTCTCCGAAGCCCAGAAGAAGCAGCTGAAGGAGCAGCAGGAGGTAATGCCCTGAAACGATTTCCAAATTCATGTGGTGGTGCAGCGTGGCTGGGTTAGATGCGAAGATGGAGGTGGAGACAGCAAAGAAACTTTCCCCGTGGCCCACAAATAAATCTCTAGGATTTGTGCTGAATGCCTAAGACTCATGTGATGCTGCAGTCAGCAGAAATACTAGAGGACTTTGGGGAATATGAAGCGAGCCAGCCAATGGCTGTCCTACCGAACTAAAACCCAAAATCTATAAGGTCTGTGGTGTCACGTCTGCAGCTGCTTATGTATTGCTTCGGCGGTGGGGAGGAGGTGAGTGGATACTTGCGAGCTTTGGGGGAGTGAGAGCAGAATTGGCTTTTTTTTGGCAGACCGTGAGGGTGATGTTTAAACTGGGGTTGGGGGGGGGGTGACGACCAGCGGGCAGCAGTCCTCAGTGTTGACACGAAGGTGCTTCTGCTGCAGGAACCAGCCCATAAAGCTCCTGTTGGAGCTGGGAAGCGAGCGGGGCCTGTTGGGATCTGTAGTTGTCACAGCCTGGGCTCTGCTGCAGGGCTCTGCCTGCCTCAGTGGCCGGCTCTGCGGCCCGCGAGCAGGTCGCCTCGCTGAGCGCGCCGTCGCTCGCCTCCCCTAGATGCAGCAGATGTATGACATGATCATGAAGCACAAGCGAGCCATGCAGGAGATGCAGATGATGTGGGAAAAAGCGATCCAGCAGCACCAACACGGCTATGACAGCGACGAGGAGGTGGACAGCGAGCTGGGAACGTGGGAGCACCAGCTGCGCCGCATGGAGATGGACAAGACGCGAGGTGCGTAGGGAGCTGCCGGGCCGACGGCCTGCTCTGCCGCTGTACCGAGGCCTCCGGAGGGAGGTGGCTGAGCTCGCGGTGGCGGTGTGGGAGCTGCAAGGTCGCTTGTCACTGCTCTGTGCTGTGGCTTCCCTGCCTGTGGAGTGGAGATCATAACTGGCTGTTGCTGTGAGGCTTTCTGCTTCGCAGACCCTCGGAAAGGCCAGGTCTCCCGGAACGCTGCGTTACTGCTCTTTTCTCTCGTCTGTGTCTTGGGCAGAGTGGGCCGAGCAGCTGACCCAGATGGGCAGAGGGAAACATTTCATCGGCGACTTTCTTCCACCTGATGAGCTGGAGAAATTCATGGAGACCTTCAAGGCGTTGAAGGTGAAGTAGCAGAGACTTGGCAGGGCGGTGGCCGTGCTTCAAACTCCTCCCGTAGCGGGGAGAGAAAGATCTCGAGCCTGCTTAGCCCTTTTTCACAGCAGTTAGCTACCTTGCAGCCTTGAGGTGCTTCTGCCCTTCCACCGGGAGCTCTGTTGCTTCCGGAGGAAACAAGGGGATAGATTTTGCCCTTAGCAGAGAAACGGCTGCAGCAAATTAGAGAAGAGGCTGTTGGGACGGTGTTTGGGGGTTAGCTGAAGTTACAGACAGGCCTCTCGGACCCCGTTTGTCTGCTGCTCCTCTTTTGGATAAGTGGTTGCTGATGCCAAGCAAGGAAAATTTGAATTTTTATGCAAGCGATTGCAGTAAAGTGGAAATGTAAAGCCTACAAAAAGCTTATGCAAAGCACTTCAATACCTGCCAATTCTTCCTAAACCGTAGAACTTCTTGATGCTGGCGCATCCCTCAATGTTTTTCTGTAGTCAGCGTGGGGTCTGACGTTCCCTGGAGATCCTGGCTTACATAAGAACTGTATCTGAAGCTTGATCCAGTGAGCAGCTTTAAATTCAGGAGCTGAATTATTTCTCAGCTTAATCTCACAGTTGCACTCCCTGCTTCTTGCAGGGCTGTGCAACGCTTTGTCGTTTACCTGTGTTCACCTCTGTGGTGGCGCAGAACTGGAATCCCAAGAAATCGTGCTGGTTATCGACTGTTTGCCAGAACCATCCTAGCTTTGAGTAGCCAAAGCTGGTTTTTCCCCTCCTCTAACCCCCAAAGGTAGGTGCACGTGAGAAATAACCAACGCTGCCTTTCGTGTCTCTGCAGGAAGGACGTGAGCCGGATTATTCCGAATACAAGGAGTTCAAACTGACTGTGGAAAACATAGGTTATCAAATGCTAATGAAGATGGGCTGGAAGGAAGGCGAGGGACTTGGCTCGGATGGACAGGGGATTAAAAACCCAGTCAGCAAGTAAGCAGAGTTCTTCTACTATTGATTTAGTCCTTTCCTCTTGGGCCGATAATTGATGCTCCTGCCCCAGCCTCCCGCGAGCAGCTGCAACGACCGTGGCTGCAATTCATCACCGGAGCAGAATCCGGAGTTGTGCCTTGCGGCAAAGGCAAAAGATCGTTTCTGGTTTCTTGGGGGTTCCCTCCCCCCAAGGTTTGGGTTTGTTACTTCACCTCGGGCAGGAGGGATGGTCTGAGCCACGAGCGGTTTGTTTCCGATCGCGGTTTGCGCGGCGCGTTCTTCGGCGAGGTGCCTCCTCGCCGCTTCCCTCGTCTATAAACGGGGATCGCTCTGGTCTGCGCCTCGCCTCTCCCAGGGCGTGCGAGGATTAAGTCATGTCTTCAAAGTCCTACATTTATTGAAGTGTTAACGTGCCTTTTGCATCCGAAGCGCCGTCGGTGCGTGTTCGCCGGTCCCTGGCGGGGGGAAGGCGATGACCAACGCTCGCTGCCGCTGGACCTGGGTTTGGAAAGATGTTTCGGTCCAGATCGAGCGCTTGGCGTGTGATCCTGCCGCTGGCCCGACGTCACTCTGGCTCAGAAGTTTAGAACAGAGCTTTGTGAGCGCTCCAGCCAAGAATAGACGGGCAGAGATAAAACATCCACCGTTTTTTTTTAGGTGGATCGTCTGTTGGCAGCATGTGCTGAACGTCGAAACCAAACCTTGGGGCTAGGAAATGCTCTGAATTGGTTTTTAGCGTTAGATCCTTTTAGAAATAACAGCTATTTTTTACTGCACGAGAGAGGGTATCTCTACAAAGCACTTCTGCTCCTCTCTCCGAAAAGATCTCTCCGGCAACACGCTTGTTGGTTCGGAGAAGTGCTGGGATAAACGATGGCGGTGATCAACCCAGCAGAGCCACCGCAGGGTTGCGGGTGGCTTGGGCTCTGCCGCCTCTGACGTTCTTAGGAGGGTAAGGAGGAGCTGCTGGCGACGGGGAGGAATTGCTTCCGCTTTCGGACTGTGGCGGAGTGAGGGAACGGGAACGGTTCCGTGCGCCTCCGCTCGCTGAGGTTCACACCGACGCGTTGTTCGCCCGCCAGTCCCG